AAAGAGTGTGGTGGGAAGGGTAGAGTGGGAAGGGTAGAGTGGGAAGGGTAGAGTGGGAAGGGTGCGGTGGGAAGGGTAGAGTGGGAAGGGTGCGGCGGGAAGGGTGCGGTGGGAAGGGTGTGGCGGGAAGGGTAGAGTGGGAAGGGTAGAGTGGGAAGGGTAGAGTGGGAAGGGTAGAGTGGGAAGGGTGCTGCGGGAAGGTGCTATTCTGTATCTCTGACCCTCTTCTCCTCCCTCCCATCCTCTACACTTTATCCCTCATTGCCTCCTCCTCTCCTTTCTTTCTCCCCCTTCCTCTTCCTTCTGCTGATGTCTCCTTTCCACTGGACCAGGCACTGTTTCCCGAGGCTATTGCCGGCTGAGGCCACCCTCCTGACTACTAGGATTCAGCTGTTGCAGAAAGCCTGGCTACTAGTTTCTTTCTTAGGGTGCCCCTCTACATTCTTAGCAATCTTAGGGTGGCTGCCTACATACCTGTAACTTCTGGTAGCCCTTCCATACCGTGTGGCTAGGATGTCTTAAAGTGAGTGCCTAGAAAACTAGAATACAGGGAAGTTTGCAAGGACTCCCTTCCCAGAAACCTTCCAAGGTGGCACCCCAACCCTGACTGGACTAGGTAGGGCATGGTCTTCTGTGGGTGAGGTTGAGTCAGAGACCTTGGTTCATGTTCTGGTACCTGTAGGCAGCAACTGAAGGACCTCCTGAGATGACCCCCCTCACCTCCTTCTCCTCTCTCCCATCTGTTAGGTGGGAGTAACAAGATACATGATTCTTCTCACTGATGCTTGTATTTCCAGAGCATGTGGCATGCATAGCAATAGCATTGAGCCCACATGGCCCTAAGATGGCCCCACAGTGTAGCTTCTGGGCAGAGATTCGTGGCTGCTGGGCTGGCAGGCATCTCTGCTGACTAGTTTCTGGGATCAGATAGTTTCCCTGTAATGTGTGCACAGGTGTGCAACCTTTGACCCTCACATGTATTGCATGCCAGGGTTAGGGACACATAGCTGCCCAGCTCTGAGCCTCTGATTCCTCTAGCAAAACAAAGTCAGAGGTAAGACTTGAATGTGCCCAAAGGA